AACTGGGTTTCAGATTGCTAACAAACTCGTCTTTTTAAAGAACTCTAGTCTTTCAGCTGAAGTCAAGCTTCAGTAAGATTTGTTCTCCAAAGGCATGAGTCCATGGACAATTCTGGGATATTGCCTTAACTGAGCCTTGTATCCCAGAAAGCCATTATCCGAAGCATTGCCTTCAGTTGGCCCTGTGTTTCGAATACCCATTTTTAAGAAATAAAGAAATTGTTTATTCAGCTAAAGCCATACTTCAATTTCTGGGGGGGGGCAAGAAGCACTACCAGTGCAAGTTTATGTTCAGCAGAATTGAAGAAACAGTAAAGCATTCAAAAACAAAGTAGCTGAAGAAAAGAACATCAAATTAATAATTCATGCTCAGAAATTGAGCTACAAGTTCAAATAAGTTAAAAAACTATATCGGCAGCCGCCCACAAGCGGAAAATAACAGCTGCCGAAATACGTACAGAAGCAAAAAAATAAACTGTTTTGTACGACAAGGCAAGCTGAAGCAAAAAACAAACAAGGCAAAAATTCAGAAAGCGGCAAGTCTAAAGTTGAGCGCATGATGAACCGCAAGATTCTGAAGACGACTGCCCGAGTTCCTATGCTTTAGCCCGAGGATCAGACTGGTCAGCATTGTTGGGCCCCATGGTGGTCTCAGCCCCAGCAGCAGAAGAAGCAGGCTTTGTACTCTGCCGAGCCTCCCTTTCCCTCTGTTCAGCCTCCAACTCCATTCTCTCAGCTTCTTCTTCGGCTTCCTCAGCCTTAAGGATTTCAGCTTCGACTGGAGTTGCATACTTCATATGAGGGTCTTCGGGATCCTGGACCCATTCAGCACATTTGGACCAGTCCAACTTCGGCTCAGCATGAAGGCAGACTCTTCGGCACACTCTAAACCCGTTTCTGAAACCCATTTCATATTCTTCCTGGGTATAGATACGGACTTTGAGTAGAGCCTCAGCATCAGCCAACTTCTTCTTTGTCTCCTCCAAGTCTTCCTTGGATTTCTTCAGCTCATCGGCGAGCTTGGAGGAGGAACCTTTCAGCTCATTCAGCTCCTGCTGAACTTGGGAAGCCTCTGTCTGAGCCTGGGCCACTTCTTCCTTTTTGGCCATCAGCTGATCCTCAGCTTCTTGGAACTTAGCTCTCTGAGCTTCAGCAGCAGCAGCAGCCTCTGAGAGTTGGACATCCCTGGCTTGGAGCATCTCTTCAGCAGCCATTCTGCTGGCTTCAAGAGCTTCTAGCTGTTGCTGCACTTCAGCTTGTGCAGCAGCTCCTTCCTGGATTCGGCTCTCAATGGTAGCCTTGAATTTGGAGATGTCCACTCCCATGTGCTCTTGGAGGAATTTTTCCCCTTCCATCAGTGGGGGAAAAACTTCCTTCTCCATAGCATCGCAGAAGGTTTTGAGGGCTTCAGCAGCTTTTTTCTCATATTCTTCACCCTTCTGCTGCTTCTCTTCAGCTGCTGCTTGCTTCAGCTTAGCAAGCTTTAACTCCTCTTTGGCTACCTTTTTGTCGTGCTCGGCAGCGTCCACCCTATCTTGTAGGGTATCTATCAGCTCTACAGTGAGAGTCTGATTGTGCACGAACTGAAAACAGGAGCACAAGTTAAAATAAAAAAAATTAATAATAATGATAATTGAAGAGCTGAATTTTAAAGGAGATAAAGGCAAGGAAAATCACCTGCATCATCAGCAGTTGGTTAGACCTGGCTGGGTCAGGAACTGATCTTCTGGATTCGCCCATCTCAGCAGTGGCCTTCAGCGACCAGATTCTTGCCCTATCTACTTCGGACATGCCAGCAAAATCGCCGAAATAGGCTGCAGCACCTTCTCGGTTCTGACCCCATATGAGGTCCCAGATGTGATCTGGGATTGGAATTCGGGGGGCCGAGAAACCCATTTCTCCAGATTGCAGAGTCTGGAAGGAAGGAAAGGATGACGATGGAGCTTCTTTAACTTTGGATGGCTCAACATCCACCTTCTTCTCAGAAGAGTCAATTATTATGACTTCTTCTTCTTCACGGGTGAGGACGAAGGCCTCAACCTCTCTTGCAATGTCTGCCGTGAAACCCTCAGCACTGGGCATCACGGCATCCTCATTCTTGTGCTCAGCAGCACTCTCTTGAACTTACTCTTGGACCCCTCCCTTAGGTTCGGGAGTTTTCTGATCCACCTCCATCTCGGGAGGTGGCGGAGGGGTCTTTGGAGGTGATTGAGGTGGTGGCCGGGGAACCCTCGGCGATCCATTGCCTTCCTCGGGTTCCCTTATTTCGACACCGATGGTCATCGGCCTCCGCTGAAAGTCATGGGGGCCGATGATGGCCATTCTTCGGCGCCTTTTCTAAAGCGGTTGCTCGTCCATATCTGAGTCTGAGGACTCTTCTTGTATCTGCTCTTCGGGACGAACAGGGGCTTTCCCTTCTCTGTGTCTATTACTCTCTTCAGACTGTAAAAGACAGGGGGGGAGGAAGAATGTGAGTAAAAAAAAAAAAAAAAAACAAAACAAAACAACAAACAGAAACAGACAAAATTAAGTCTGAAAGCTCACCGAGGTCTTCAGCAAAGCCTCGTCTTCTTCAGCTGCAGCTTCTTCTTCAGCAGCCCTGGAGGACCCTTCTCCTCCTTCACAAGCTTCAATAACCCGTGCAACCTCTTCGGCCATACGGGCAGCTTCAGCTTCTTCGTCCAGCAGCTGAAACCAGGGATCTCTCTTCTTCCACCAAGTCTTCTGCCTCTGATACAGAGCAACAACCTCAATTTGGAAGTGGGAAGAGTCTAGATGTACTTCTCTATGCCTCGGTTCAGTGATAGAGGGGGCCCGATCAGTTACAACTCGTTCTCGGTTGACGCCAAGACGAGCGTAGTTAATGCCGACGTTGGTCTCGTCCCGCTCTGAAAAAGAAAAGGGGAAAGGTCAGTTTAGTTAGGTTGGCACAGTATAATAAAGCGAAGTGAAAGAGGAGAAAAAGAGATAATTAAAAGGCCTCGGCCCCAGCCGAAGAAGCTTACCATCCTTAAACTTTCGGCTGAGGCCGACAGCTGCTAGCATGTTCTCTTGGAAAACATAATGTGTATCGGGGAGCCAAGTCTCCGGGATATGCTGCATTCGGCCGCTGCCCCCCCGGTTCGGCAGCTTGCTGAAGATATTATGTTGATTAAGGTTCGGATTTGGGCCGTTATCTGCGGGGGGACCTAAACTTCCCATGTCGGGATCAGGCTCAGCAAGGTACCGGGGAGCGCTGAAGACGCAAGGGTGGCCCGGGTCCGTGGGTGCCCTAACCCAAATCCATTGACCTCTCCAGTCCTTGTCTGAAGAGTCGTTCGGCCACATGGTTAGGTACTGGGGCCGAGACTCAATCCGGTACCACCTAGAACCATGACTTCCGTGCCCACTTTAAATATTTGGCACTAGCCGATGAAGCTTTTTGAAGCAGTGCAGGTTCGGCACATACCTGAAGAACTTGCAGACCCATAAGTATGTCATCACCCTTCGGATGCTAATAGGAGTTAGCTGACATAGGGAAATATTGTAATGGATCAGCAAGTCTCGGACGAATACGTCCAAAGGGAACCTCAGCCCATACTGAAGTTGTCTTGTGTACACCCCCACATACCCCGGGGGTGGACGATGGATTCTATCGGATGCCACGGGCATTTGGCACCAATACCCATCAGCTTCAAGGATGTCGTAATGCAACTCAATTTGTTCAGCAAACCGATACTGTTCGGCATTCTCCACCCACCATGAGTAGGATATCCCACCATGAGTAGGATGCCGTAATGCAACTCAATTTGTTCTTTATCATGGCCGAAGCTACTTCGGCATCCTCCCACTCTTAAAACCCGGGAAGGATATCCCAAAGGACAGCGGGAACTTCATCGTCCCACCCAGAAGCGCTCGGCCCCTCCGTTCTCTAAGGAGGAGCCGAAGAAATTGGAGTCGCCCTAATCCCTTCAGCAGGGTCAGATTCTGCTCTTTGTCCATTCCAGGTCCCAATCCTGTTCCTGGGATTGGGAATTGGCCTTGCTCTTCTTGGAGCACGGGCTCTACCCCTAACTCCTCTCGCCATTGATAATTTCGAAGAAAAAAGTCGAAAAAAGGGGAAGGAGTTCAAATTCGAAGAAAAATAAACTAAAATCAAAGGAATTTACCTTCATCTGAAGCGAAAGTTGTCGATTTACGAATTGGTAGTGGCGAGTCTCAGTTTCTAAGCTTAGTGCTCGGGGAATTTGCGAAGTTTTGATGCGGGTTCTTGGGTTCTCTCGAGAATTCTGGGTTTGTGTTGGTGAATAAGTGAGGAGAGATGACGCGCCTCTAATTATATCTCCAGAAATGGGAATACGTGGAGTTCGCGTTTCAATTTCTCTTAAATACCCCACTAAGTAACCGTTAAACACACGACCTTGCGATTAAACTGCCCATTATCCGTCCAACTTCCACAATTATCCGCCTTAACTGTTGTTATCTCATTAATTACGGTTTAATTACGGTTTAAATTCAAATTTTTGGATTAATTAAATCATTCACTTCCCTCCTTTTCTGATTAAATCAAACCCGACCCGTCATCCTTCCAAATCGGGTCTGGGGGGCAAGTTGTTTGGGTCCAATTTAGTCCAATTGGGCCTAGGCATTAAATGATCCAATTAAAAGCCCAAGGTCAAGGTTCATCTCTCCAATTGTGCTAAAGTCAAAGATCAGTCCTCAAGGCAAGCCAATTGGGCTAAGGCCCAACTTCTCCATATATGCAAAGGTATAAAAGCCATCAATATTACATTTGTACATTCATTCAAGCAAAGCCTCAAGCAATTAATTCTCTTGCATATTGTTCTCTTTCTACACACTGTACTGACTTTAGCATCGGAGGGGCCTTCCTCGGCAACACCCCCGAGGCTAGTTTACGTGTGTTTACTGTGCAGGAAACCTTCGGCCCAACATCACTTGGACCGAATCCAGTCTTCTCCACTTCATCGGACCTTCGACAAGGTCCCATTGTTTTCACCCGAAACAATGGTGATTCCGATCAATCTCCACCACCTCCTCCGCCTCCTGTAGTGCCTTATGGAACATTCCAGGGTGTTCCTTCTTCATCCCCTGCAATGGGTTTCCCTCAGCCTGCCCCACCTCCTGGTTCCATGGATCCTCCTCCTGACTACTACACTCGTGGCTATCAAGCCGTTCCAGGTCTTGTTCTCTCTCATAAACTGTGTTTTATGGCTACCCTTTTGCTATTTTGGGTGGATTGTTGAATTTGTTAGGTGTATAGAGAGTCGCAAAGGGTGTGATGTAGTTTTGTAGACAGAAACTATTGTGAAGACTTATTTAGTAACTAAGTTAGTTGATATATGTATTTTGGGTGGATTATTGTGGATGGGGTTGATTGTGGAAATGTGTTCTTGTTATGATGGGGTTAATGGGGTTTTTGGTTAGGAATCTGGGATTTTGAAATACAGTATGCGTTGACTAATTGGCTGAGTAATTCTGCTTATATTACCTGAGAATTTAGGTGGTCTGTGATATCTTATTAGCTTGGTATGAAGCTACATTTCTTGCAATTGTATGTTTGTTCTTAAGAATGCAGGGTTACATCTGACTAAATAGAAACAAGATAGTAATTTAAGCTGAATTTAGGTGGTTTATGATTTCAACTTTCAAGGCCAATTTTGGTCAAAAGACTCTGAAGTTTACTTTGGTTAAAGGGTTGTATTTGTTGATAATTTGGCTGATTTTCTCTTGTGTATAAAGATAACTGTTAAAGGACCTTGACAAGTAGATGTATCATAAAATAATCAAGGTTAACTTAGCTGCCCATTTTGGTTCCTTTTAGTTGCAAAACGAGCACTTGTGTTTAGAGCTTTGAAGTTCAAATCACAATGGAATTGGAGGCTGCACAGCTTCTGTGTAACCTAAGTTCTTATTAGTTGACATTGAAGGAAATCTTGTGGTTGTGGCAATTGTTTTGTATCAAAGGCGGTTGATATAATTTTAAGTAAGTTATACCTCTATTGCTTTGTTTGGATACGAAGAAAAAAGGGAAGGAAGGGGAGGGAAGAGAAGGGAAGGGAAAGGTGAGCTCCATTTTACCTCTAAATCTCTCCAATTTTGGAGGGATGATATATATTAGAGAGAGGAAAAATGGATCCCTCCCTTCCTTTCCCCAATCCTTTACCCAAACAAGAAAACATGCCCTCCTCCCTTTCTCTTTTCTTCTTTTCCTTCCATTTCCTGTTATCCTTCTTTTTGTACGTGCCTCTGTGTTTGATAATAGTGGACCTTAGAATTCTGAAGTTTGTATGACATTACATGTAAACTTCTGTAGTGATACAGTTGCTATTTTCTGTTATCCTTCTTTTTGTATGTGCCTCTGTGTTTGATATCAAGGTGTTTGTATATGTTTGTACTTGACTGTTTGTCTATGTACTTGCTATGAGCTTGCTTATAATGACTCCATTTGTATACTGTATATGCTGATTCAAATGAGTATCTTTGATAATGACAAGGTTATGTGGTTGCTGAAGGAAGACCATTGAATGCGCATCGCCTTCCTTGCTGTGGCATCGGTTGTGGCTGGTTCTTGTAATGTTTCTCTTCCTTTTCCTACCTTCCCTCTAAGATCATATTGTAGTTCACATTTGCTTCACAGGAGAAAAAAGAACTCATAAAGATGTGTTAAGCCTCAAGGTGGGTGGAAATAGTGAATAGTAGGAGTGCAAAATATTTGTGCATGAAAATAATGGCTTAAGAATGAAATCAATTGTGTAGTCATTAATATATAAAAATAGCCTGGTACTCATCAATCATGTAAATCAAGTGCGTAGTTCATTGACCATTCTTGTGGAGTTGGGACAAGAAAAATGGATTAATGGACACATCAACAAATGGCAACTTAATCACCAAGCTGAATATTGGTAGTAACTTTAATATCTGCCATAACATACAAATGTGCTAAAGCTTAATCCAATACTAGAAAGGGAGATTAAATTTCTTAAAATTTTCTGAAAAGCCTTAAACTAAAGATTCTAAATCACAACTTTCGTATGTTAACATCTATAGCTCCAAACCCCTCCAAGAAAATAGGCATCCTGAGGCCCCTGTTTCTATGGTGCTTATTGATTGTATTCTTTTTTTGAAGGTTCATAATTGGGCTCTTCCTGGGTGGTATCCCTTGGTATGTTGGGGCAATTTATCTTATTTGTTGCCGAAATGTGGATCATAGAGAGAAGCCAGGATATGTTGCCTGCACAATTGCTGTAAGTTTTGCTCTCTTGCCTCTAAATTGTTTTGCTTTGTTCCATATCACATTCACTCTCTTAATCTTTTCACATTTCATTGATTGTTGGAAGAATCACTTCCATTTTTGCACATTGGTGCTGTCTTAGTAAGAACTAGAGGAAATAGAATAAGGAGCTCCAAAAGTCTTATTTGATGCTTGACATGTTGAAGTGGAATGCTGCATTTAAAAATTGGTGTATCAGGAAAGAACATTTCATAAAAAATATGCCTGCATGTATAACTCTTTTGCGAATGGATTACAATTTTAATGTGGAACTAAGTTTGTTGCAACAAATAAGAAACATAAGTAGTATTTATGATCCATATATCTGGTCAGAACTCTTTATTAACAGGGTTTTATTTATAGTGCACGTTGGAATGAGGATTATATATAAGGGGGTATAACCGTCCATTGTTGAATCTACCATGAATTGTAAGATAATACATAAAAAAGTTAGGGAAGGTAAGATTCCATAATATTTTATTAATTTCCCCTACAAAATAAGAGCTACCAGTACATCTCAAGTCATCTGCCATCCCCTAATATTTGCACCTAATGCATGTCTTTAGTGTCTTGCGGCTCTTCCCTTGATCCTCTTTTCCTGACAAATGGTGTGACAGACACTTTTTCAAGTTCTTTGTTGGGTGTAACCTTGGTTGTCCTCCAATGCTATTAATTTTTGTTTCACTGAGTCCATCTTTTATAACCCCATTTGTGCAGTATTCATGATTATTAATATCTATTGATATTCTAGGATGCAAAATGAGTATTTAAAAAACATCAAAGGTTCACTAGCGAATTTTGATTATAATGGATCACATTAAGCATTTCATGACAGTACTTTGCTTGTTCTGTTAAGTATCAGAGTGCCAATTTGCTCTCAGTATGCCATCAGACAATTAATGTCTCTGCACGCATCCAACCCCATCAAATCAACCCCTGTCAGGGCATGAATATGATTTTGTGAAAGATAATTTTTGACCCTTGGTTGGGTTTTATATAATCGTTCATCAACAGTTTTTTTTTTTTTGAAACCTAATCGTTCATCAACATACATGTTAATGAATCTTTGTAAAATATTAGCTTATTCTATAGCTTCATGCTCATATTTGATAACTAATTCTGGCAAATAGCCTTGGGTATGATTCGGATGTTTTATTCAGTGCTCCTGCTCTTATTAGTGCTCCCTACTAAATTCTTGATGGTGGACCACTATTATTGGCACTGAATATTTCTGCTAATTTTGCAGGCTGTTTGTGCTGTTATAGCCACTATTTTTGGTGTGTCGAAACTAAATGACTGAACATATCCTTGTGGCATTTCAATTCTCTGAAAGAAACCAAGGTTTGTGCTTTTACTTGGAAGTTGGAGCAGTCTTTCGAGTTATATGGAGAGATCCCTGTAGTTTGTTGTATTACTACTTAAATCAATTTTACATTTAAATTTTGTTTAATTGTGACTATATAAACTTCTTTATGATATTTGTATCATCAAACCCTGTAGAACCAACCTTTTGTTTGTATAGAATATTGTGTATTTGCATCTCTCTGGGAATAACTGAATTATAAAACTGGATTTAAGTTGGTTAATCTACTTTGATAAATAAATACTTTCTGTTACTGCATTATTTCAATCACTTACATCTCTAATGATCAATAAGTAAACATTATAATGATGTGATGTGATGAAAATAAAAATGGATCGGACAGTGATCCACCGGGTAGCCACCCTGACATAGAAGATTTAGTGTAAGCTGAAAAGAACTATAGCAAGGTAGCATGCATATCTCTTGACTCGTCTACAGGCAAATCACTTACCAGTGTCTTAGGACTCTAGGAGTTGGCTGTCCCAATATCCAGTTTCATTTAGGCATTGGCAGTTGCTTGAAGGTTTCCCTTCAGGAGGCCATGAAATTCTATTGACATAATTTCAAGTGCACCCTGGCACTGCTCGCACAGTGTTAGTTTAACCCTTGCATAATGATCCATTCTCTAGCTTCTCTGACCAACTGCCTATACTTAGCTACTTAATACACTAGCAGAGTCAATGATGCTACTTGGTACTCCGATATAGTCATTAAATTTAGTCTAACTACTAAAAGCATGTCTCTCAGTCTCTGCTTAGTTGCTATAACTTCCTAATGTTGGCCTTTGTGGGAAGGTTTAAGGCTATGTCTACTCGTTCATATTCATACTATGAAAGAGAGAGGCATAGTTACAGGAGGCTAAAATAGAATTATGATTATTCTACTCGTTCGTATTCATACTATGAAAGAGATCTTCTATGGTTTGCTCGAAAATACTCCTAAAGTTTCCTAATCTCCCACTTCCATAAGATCTATACTAGCCTCCAGGCTTCTATAAATACCCTTTTAATCCTATCCCCTAGGTGGGCACCAACTAACTTTGATGATAAGAATATTTCTACTGGAATTTTGACTTAAAATGTGGTTATTTTCTGTACCAATAAGTCAATAACTCCTTCAATAGACCTCTAAAACAAACATGAAACACTTGGCAGTTGTGATTAGACTTACTATCCAAGAATCTGTAAATTCAAAAATTCAATCCGTAACTGATCTGAATTTTTGGATATCCGAACCGAGTCTTCATTTGGGATTGGATATTCGATCCGAAAAGGCGAATATCGGATACAGATTCAGATATTGATTTTCAACATTTCAGTTATTTGATATCTGAAAACTTTGAATATCGAATATCAAATATCCGAACCGATATCCAAAATATAATGGCTGAAATAGTGAAATATATATAAAATTTTTAAAATGTCCATATGAAATTGACCATGTGTATTATTATGATATTCTTAAAGTATTTGATGATAATTTTTATTGCAAAAAAAACTACTTCCTCCGTTTCGTAACAATTATAATAGTAGGGAGGGCACAAGTTTTAGAAAAATTATAGGTGGGGACCAAAGAAGAATTTTATGATATAAAATATAGTTCATGGGTATAGTTTATAATATAAAGTTATATGGCTAATTTTTTATAAGCAAAATTGGCTAGAATAGCATAAACTATTATTTAGGTTCGTTTAATATCACAAACATTAAGTGCAGCCATGAACAACATGAACTTGGTTAACCCTTAGCGTATAGCTGCTATTTGTTAGCAAACTAATAGGATGTAAAATGTATCCATGCATAATAGTACACAAAAAGTACTATTAAGACAATTTATAATTTAATGGTATATTATACATGTATAATGGTACAATATAATGTACCACTGCAAAGTCATTTTTTTTTTTATTTTTAATTCTGAAGGTTGCTAAATTTACATTTCTGTCATCCTATATTCATTGTAAACGCATAGCAACTATGTGCTGAGATACACTCTTGGGTGACATAAATGTTTTAGGTGCTGCTAATTCCACTATATTACAGTTTCTTTTATTTTTCTTTTCTTTTTTTTTTAAATTATAAATTACCCCCTCATCGTACCATGTGACTATTAGATTCTTTGTGATTGAGATTTGTCCAAGAATAAGGCAATTCTTTTCTCTAGATTAAACAATAAACTAGCATCTATTTTCATCATCAAACCAAACTTCAAAACATTATCAAACCAAAACAAGCTCCACAAGACTATGTGAGACTCCGAAACCTCTGGTTTAACTCCTTTCTTCCTAACTAAAGTCACAATTCAGTGAAATGATCAATTTCTAAGCATTGAAACATCTTCAAACCATATATTATATGTTACCTTTTTCTCATATGAATAATCATGTGAACGGAAAGTGAGGTTAATTTAATTGAAAAAAAAAAAAAAAAAACACCTGAAATCTGATTGAACCTCCGACGCCGGAAAACATTTATGTTATTTACGACAACCAACTCTCAAAGTTCACGTTGTTTATTACTCTACTTAAAATTTGTGTTGTTGAACACACCCAAGTAATATTCTATGTTGTTCAAGCCAATTTTACCTTTTTTTAAAATGAAGGTTGTATTACTTGTATATGTACATCTATATCTATATCTATATTTATATTTAGTATTTAAAAACTCAAATCGAGAAAGACACATGTCCCCAGATCATTTTATTACACTTCCCTATCTTCTTTTCTAACCCAATGTGTCACATGTCTTCTTATATTTTAACTTTTTATTAGACTATCTTTCTTAAATCTTTCATTAAATCGATACTTCATCTCCACTCTTTAATTCAACCTTTTCCTTTTCTCTCTTTAATTTTAGTCTCTCTTCACCTTCTTTTCTTTAAGCCTCTTTTTATATTAAAGTCCCACAAATTTAATTTCTTTAATCATATTTTCGGTTATACATTACACCCATATTGATTAATGTTATTTCTTCACTAATCTCTCAATTCATTTTTCCATGAACAATTCGTGTATTGCACGGGCTAGAAAGCTAGTTGAATTAAAAGCGTGTATCACAAATTCACTAGGTGTCAATTCAAATATTTGGATTGGATTTGATAAAGTCGGGTCAATGTTGAGTCATTTTTTTTGAAAAGTTCTGCTAAATTATTTTTCCGTACATATTGAAATGTGAATTGAACTTTTTTTTTTTCAAGTAAGATCGGATCGGGTTAGATTTTTAACAACTCTAATCTATATCTATATCTATATGATCAAATTGTACTTCTTTATCCCAAGTATTATTTTTGACAACTCTAATCTATATCTATATCTATATGATCAAATTATACTTCTTTATCCCATGTATTGTGATTTTTGATAACTCTAATCTAAAACGATATTGATATTGGAGTCTTTTAGAGTAAGCCTTGTATGTGGCTAGCCACACGGTGTGACCACATTTATTTATAAGAATAATCCTTATTTATATACTTCCTCCGATCTTTTATTATTGTACCATAGAGGTTGGCATACTTTTTTGGTAGTGGGAAAAAGGAAGAGAAAGAGGGGTAGAATTTCAAAGTTATCCTTATAACGTAAACATAAACTAAAGAATCAAGTGGCAAAAGTAAGGATATATTGGGTATTTGTAATGTGAACAAAGATATTTTGTTTCCTAAAACTGAAATGGTGCAATATTTGTAAAACTTTCTTAAAAGGCAAGTGGTGCAATAAACAAGTTGGCATACTATTTATTCATAAGAATAACCTCATTTTGTCCATTAAAGTAACTCCAATTCATTATATGAGTAATATTTAGAAATAAGTAATCCCATTTAATTTGTTTTAAAAATTGAAAGAATGATTCCACTTATGTAAGAGAATAACCCTTTTTTTTCATATAAGTAAATCACATACGTCAAGGTAACCCCATTTGCTCATTATCGTAACCCCCTATTACTTATTTAATTGCTTTATATGTGAAGTGACCACACCATGTAACTAGCCACGTATAAGAATATCAAAGTGTTGTGTAATCAATTTGAATGAGACTTCTATAATCAAATCAGCAAAGAAATTACGTACGAAGTAGGTAAATTACAAAGGAAAATCCAATTTAAATCATCCTATCGGATGAATGGAGTTCTATCGTCACACATGGCATGACATTAACCTATCTTTCTATATCAACTACACGCTATATTTTTCATTTCTGGAAACCTTTTTTTCTTTTTCTTTTTTATTTTGGAATAATCATTCCTGGCTACTACTTCATCTTAGTTTAATTGTGTAGATATCACTATCCAAAGTTCATGTATATCTTCATTCCACCTAAATTTACTCGTCCTCAAGTAACAATTACCCGCCAAATTAGCCTACCTTTGCCATATTCAAACAAACACTTTTTTTCCCCTATGCTACAAGCCTACATATACAAGTATTAAATATATATGCTATTAAATAAATACAATAAACAAAATTAAAACAAACAAAATAAACAGTATTCAAAACAAAACAAAGAAACACACAAAAAAAAATTGAAACAAACAAGATTATTAGTTCAATTATATATCATACACACATAAATGACCTGATCATATATCTTTGTCTCATATTGTTATTTTATATTGTTAGATGAGATGAACACTACAAGAGGAGGGGGGATGAATTGTATGTGAGTTCCTAGTGACTACTTTTGCGAAAATAAAACAGAATATAAAAGGAACTTTGCAAAGCACACTAGATTTTACGAGGAAACCTATTTTACCCAACCTAAGTCCCTGACTTAGATTCACTTAGCACTCCCTGAATGCTCTCACACTCAGTTTCAATCCTGAAGCCTACAATCTGTATGCAATACGCTTAACTCTTCCCCCAATACCAAAACAATACAAACTTTTGACTCTAATATGTGATTGGAAAGCTACACATGAAATCCGAAACTAATATGACAAAGTTTGGACTTGGCAAACTTACACTTTGCGCTCTCTTCAGATTCTTCACGCATAAACTCACAAAGTTATGAATTCTTTCTTATATACAAGTTATACTCGTATGTAAAGTAGGGTTTTCAAAAGATAGAAATTATAAAACTGCCGTTTTCATAATCACACGTTTATGTAAATCTTTTTGGAAGAGAATATATTTAGAAAACTTATCAAAGATATAATTTATGAAAAGATTAATATTTTATAAAACCGGATTTTAATAAATAAAATCTTTCAAAAATCTTTTCATAAATTTAAAACTTATCTTTTATAAATTTTCCATTTTTATAGCTTGCCAAGCTTTGTCACGCTTCTAATAAACTCCATGCATAAACTTTCCTAACATATTTACAATAATCCTTAGATAAATAATGAGAAATTCTACATGGTAGCCTCATGGTTTTAAGTTTTCTACGTGGAAGTGATATACACGTTTTATACATAGGTTTTTCCCGACTTTTCATTACATTCTTGTATGGTTTAGGCTCTTTAGAGCCATTTTCCGCTAACATTCTCTTCTCTAGTGTGTTCGGTATGTTTTCATAAATTTTATAGGAACTTGGAGTTTCTCGGATTATTCGGACACGTTTCGAGCGTTTCAGAGATGTTAGTGGACAAGGATGTAAAACCGAGCTAAACAAGAACCAAGTCTTAGAAGAATTTGCAAGCAAAGAGCATTTTTTATACTGTGCTCGATCGGGCTATGAATGCCCGGTCAGACCGGGCACAGTAGGATTTGTTGGTTGATGCTAATGTTGAAGCAAAGAAGTTGTTCTAGGATTTTATGCCACGCGCCCGATCGGGAAACCCACGCCCGGTTGGACCGGGCGCGTGGTGGCTGATGGTGCTCAAGCTACGAAGATCAGCAAGGCAGCCAGAGAAGAAGCTGTGCCTCGCGCCTGATTGGGCGCCATATGCCCGGTTGGATCGGGCGCCGAGGAGAATGGCAAGGAGAAGCAGCGCCTGTTTTTATACCACATGCCCGATCGAGCATGTCAAGCCCAGTCAAACCGGGCAGAGTTATGCGCTTTGTCGTTTTATTATTTTCATACTTTTACTTCATTAAGGGTATAAATACCCATTGTAATTATCATAAGTGGACAAGACATTATCTCCTTAAGTTTTATTTCTCTCTCTAGAACCTTATTTTAATACTTTTTAGCAATTTAATTCCTAGGTTAGATTTGGAATTGTTGATTAACAATTTGAGTAATTTCAATTGAAGCATCATTGGTATTCATCTCTATTCCTTTCTCTTTCAATTATTTTTGTTTTCAATTATGTTTTTTTTTATTATTATTGTTATTGCTTCTTTCAATATGTGTGAGTAGTTTTCTTATTCCAAGATCTAGGGTAGCCCAATTATGATTGATGCATGAAATAATTCTTTAAATTCTCTAATAACTATTGCAATTTTTTATGCTCAATTGATTGTGATTATGCCAATACTAGATTAGAGATAATCAGTATCGTTATTATTCCATAGTTTCAATCACAACGAGAGTTGGGTGTTAACGGAATTGAGTAAATTAATTTAGGGTTTGAAATTCATCACAAGAGTAGTTGAATTGATAATTGGGAAGTGAAGTAAAGTGTTTAATGTCTCTAATTTGCATGATTCCATGAGAATAGGCTTGATTGTATGTTAGGGAAGTCATTGATACTCGAGAGAGGTCCTTGGTATTGATTAGGGTTACTTTTCCCCATGTTAATTGGAATTGTATGTTAGGGGTAGATATATAATTGCATCGATCGTAATTGTGGTGATACTTGATCTTGGATGTTTTAGCTTATTGATTCATTATATTCTTTTGAATTATTCTAGTTTTCCATACATTAGCTCTTAGTTTATTCCACCATTGATTTGATTCTTGCTTAGTAATTATTTGAGTCTAGATAATTTAGGTGAAACTTAGTCTCTTGGGATTCGACCCTTACTTGCCGGACTACATAGTTAGGTTATTTTTGTTAGGTACGCGACACGCCTATCAAATTTTGGCGCCGTTGCCGGGGACTAACGGTTTCATTTGATTATTTGTGATTTGTTTTTGCTAAGCTTCGTTCGTTGCTTCGGCTATTTTCTCTTGTGTTTTTGATATTCTTTCTCTAGTTTTCTCGTTGCATGCCCACACGACGCTCAGGGTCAGACGATCTTGAACCATTTGACTATGAGATCGAGGCAACTATAAGGAGAAGGAGAACAAGAAATCGGCGAAGGAGAAACATGGAAGATGCCACGAAATCCCTCTTGGAGTACGGTATTCCTGATACGACTACCGGACTCCTTTCTAGCATTGTCAGACCACCTGTGACGGCTCAGCATTTCGAGCTTAAGCCACAATTCATCCAATTCATCTCCAATGATTCATTTGCAGGATCACCGCATGATTGTCCGGTAAGTCATATTGATAGTTTTCTGGAGAAATGTGATACAATGAAAATGAATGGTGTTACAGATGATGCTATTAGACTTCGCCTTTTCCCTTTCTCATTACGGGATAGGGCAAAGGAGTGGTTGAGAGATGAAGGCACTGGCTCGTTCGATACATGGGACAAGCTAGTGAAAGCCTTCTTAGTGAAGTTTCTAGGACAGGAGAAGACTGCTAGGTTGAGAAACGAATTATCCACCTTTTGACAGTCTAATGACGAGTCTCTCTATGAGGCTTGGAGAAGATTCAAGAGGCTACAGAGACAATGCCCTCATCATAGCATCCCAGAGTGGATGTTAATCCAAACATTCTACAATGGTTTGACCCATGAGTTTCTCATATACATTGATGCTGCATCCGAAGGTTCGGTCATGACTAAGAAGCCAAGGCACTCATAAAGAAAATGGCGGCCAACGATAACTACCATCCAGGAGGTCGTCAGAATGTGAAAAAAGGAGGTAAACTTGATGCAGATGATTTGACTATGTTAACCAGTTCTGTGCAGGCACTAACAAGCGGGTTTGATAAGCTCCAAGCTGGAACTTCTACTAGCCCACAGGAGGTTTGTCAAATGTGTAATGTGCAGGGCCACATCGCACCTGATTGCCCGCAGAACTCGAGTGAAATGTCAATTAAACAAGCCAATGCTTTCTACTCCTTAAATCCCAAAAAGCCCTATGATCCCTACTCTAATTCTTACAATGAAGGTTGGAAACACCATCCTAACTTCTCCTATTAGAACACCCAAGCACAACAAAATCAACCACCACAATCACCTCGACCCAACAACTATAACTCACCACCCGGCTTCCAACAAAGACCACCTATGAACCAACAACCAATGCAACCACTTCCCCAAAAATCTAGCCTTGAGTTGATGATGGAGAGCTTCATTACCACAACCAATAGTGCCATACAACAACAAAGTAGCTCCATCCAACAGTTGCAAGCCCAGAGTAAACTCATGGAAAACCAAATAAGCCAACTTGCTCATCAAGTTAGTCAATCTTTAAAGACTCCAGGAACTTTTCCGGGCTAGACAGAGCAACCTCAGAAAGGGCACATGAATGTTGTTACTTTGAGGAGTGGAAAGCAATTGGAAGATCCTCCTACCAAGGAGCCATCAAAGGAGGTCATTGAAAAAGTAGGTGAAGGTGAGAAGGAGATCGATAGTGCTAAGGTCGAGGATGAATCAAAGGAAGCAACTCCAAAGCCGCTTGCTCCGTATGTGCCTAAAGTTCCTTTTCCTCAAAGGTTAGCCCAAGCTAAACTTGAGAAAACGTACGGTAAATTTCTTGACATCCTGAAAAAGCTTCATATAAATATTTCGTTTTTAGATGCTATATCCGAGATGCCTTCATATGCTAAATTTTTAAAGGATATGCTTTCTAACAAGAAAAAGTTAGAAGAGAATGCTACAGTTGCTTTGAATGTAGAGTGCAGTGCTATTTTGCAGAACACTCTCCCTAAGAAATTAGGCGATCTAGGTAGCTATTCAATTCCAGTGAAGCTTTGGGATATTGAAATTAACAGGGCACTATGCGATCTTGGTGCAAGTGTGAGTCTCATGCCACTGTCCATTTGTAAGAAGCTGCAAATGGGTGAACTCAAACCCACACGCATATCCTTGCAACTTGCAGACAGGTCAGTAAAGTTTCCTTTGGGTGTACTTGAGGATGTACCTCTTCGTGTAGGTAAGTTTTTCATACCTTGTGATTTTGTTGTGATGGAAATGGAGGAAGATGTAAATGTTTCGATTATTCTTGGTAGACCTTTCTTAGCTACTGCAGGTGCAATCATTGACATGAAAAACGGTAAGATTACCTTTGAAGTTGGTGATGAAAAATTAGAATACTCACTTATGAATGTCATGGGTACTCCCTCCATGGGGGAAACTGTTTGTCAGGTTGATGTACTTGATGAGTTGCAGAGTGAGCAGCTTCCTTTGAGCAAACCAGATGATGCACTCGAAACGGTGCTAGTAGGGAAGGATGATGATGGAGATTGGGAATCAAGGGAGTATGTCAGGTTACTAGAAGAAGCAAGGGCCAACCTAATCGCTAATCCAATCAGAGAAATACTTAGTGTAGTGAGTATTGGGGAGAGTACTAAGCCTCCCGAGGTAGAGTTGAAACCTCTCCCTTCGAATTTGAAATATGCATATCTTGGTCCCTATAATTCATACCCTGTTATTGTCAATGCTGAACTCAAGGACACGGAATTGGAGCAATTGCTCAATGTTCTAAAAACATATAAAAGTGTAATTGGGTACTCCATTGATGATATTAAGGGTATTAACCCTTCTTTCTGTATGCATAAAATTATTCTTGAAACGATCATGCCTCCTCTATAGAACCTCAAAGAAGACTTAATCCTAATATGATGGAAGTAGTGAAAAAAGAGGTTCTAAAATTTCTTGCTGCAAGAATAATCTACCCTATCTCCGATAGTAAGTGGGTTAACCCTGTACAAGTAGTACCCAAGAAGGGAGGTATGACCGTTGTCAAGAATGACAAGGGTGAGCCAGTCGCCACTAAGGCTGTGACAGGATGGTGAATGTGCATAGACTACAGAAAATTAAATAAGGCCACCCGGAAGGATCATTTCCCCCTACCCTTCATTGATCAAATGCTTGAAAGGTTGGCAAAGCATTCCTTTTTCTGTTATTTAGATGGATATTCTAGTTTCTTTCAAATTCCTATTTGTCCTTGTGATCAGGAAAAGACTACATTCACATGTCCATATGACACCTTTGCATATCGCAGGATGCCGCCATTTGGATTATGTAATGCTCCTACCACTTTTCAACGTTGTATGATGGCAATTTTTTCTGGTCTTATAGAGAACTCTATGGAGGTATTTATGGATGATTTTTCTGTCTATGTAACATCTTTTGATATATGTCTCGAAAATCTTAAAATCGTGCTCCAAATATGTAAGGAAGTCAATTTGATTTTGAACTGGGAAAAATGCCATTTTATGGTGCAACAGGGAATTATTTTAGGCCATGTTGTATCAAATAAAGGTATCGAAGTTGATAAGGCTAAGATAGAGGTTATAAAGCATTTACCCCCACAAATTCTGTAAAAGGAGTTCGAAGTTTCCTTGGTCATGTAGGTTTTTACCGTAGTTTTATTAAGGACTTTTCGAAAATTGCTCGACCTCTAACTGAGCTTTTAGCTAAGGATGTTCCTTTTGTTTTCTCTGATGCTTGTCTCGAGGCTTTCAACAGGTTGAAGGAAGCTTTGATCACTGCTCCTGTCATGCAACCCCCAGATTGGAGCCTACCATTTGAAATTATGTGTGATGCTAGTGACTATGCAGTAGGAGTCGTTTTAGGGAAAAGTAAGGAGAAAAAGCTTCATGCCATTTACTATGCTAGCAAAACTCTTAGTTCTGCTCAAATGAATTATGCCACAACTGAAAAAGAGATGCTAGCTGTAATATATTCTATTGACAAGTTTCATTCTTACTTGGTTGGTTCTAAGGTTATTATTCATACAGATCATGCAGCACTGAGATATTTGATGACCAAGACCCATGCAAAGCCTAGGTTGATTCGGTGGATTCTTCAAATACAGGATTATGACATAGAGATCAAGGATACAAAAGGGACGGAAAATGTTGTTGCATATCATCTCTCCCGTCTCCTCCTTCACCCCGAGGATGGGGATGATATCCCTTTTGATGACTCTTTCCCTGCCGAACATCTATTAGCTTTGTTGCAGACTGAATCACCTTGGTATGCTGATTTGGCTAATTTTCTTTCCACAGGTACAATGCCTCATGGCTACTCCTCTCAACAAAGGAAGAAATTCCTTCATGAAGCAAGGAGATATATCTGGGATGATCCGTTCTTGTACAAGCAATGCGCGGACACTATGATCCGAAGATGCATTCCAAAAATTGAGGTAAATCACATTATTTCTCATTGCCATGACTTACCTTGTGGTGGACATGCAGGCCCTTCGAAGACAATTGCAAAGATCTTTCAATGTGTATTTTACTGGTCAACAATGTTCAAGGATACTTACTCCTATGTCAAGGCTTGCGACCGATGTCAACGGACGGGCACTATATCTAAGAAGAATGAGATGCCGCTCAACAACATACTCGAGGTCAAGTTGTTCGATGTGTGGGGGATAGATTTCATGGGTCCGTTTCCCTCTTCCTATGGCAATCGTTACATCTTGCTAGCCGTTTATTATGTATCAAAGTGGGTGGAAGCAATAGCTACTCCAACCAACGATGCTCGAGTGGTAAGTAAGTTCTTCAAGAAAATTATTTTCCCTCGATTCGGTATCCCACGTGTGTTGATTAGTGACAGGGGCACACATTTCTTAGAGCATCGATTTGAGGCAATGCTAAGGAAGTATGGAGTACAACACCGGCTTGGAATTGGCTATCATCCTCAAACAAGTGGCCAAGTTGAGGTATCCAACCGAGAGATCAAGTCCACCATCGAGAAAACAGTTGCAAGAACAAGGAAGGATTAGTCCGTGAAGCTAGATGATGCACTATGGGCATACCAAACGGCCTTCAAAACGCCAATTGGAACAACCCCATATAGACTTGTCTACGGGAAAGCATGCCACTTGCCCGTTGAGCTAGAAAATCGAGCATTTTGGGCCATTAAAAGCTTGAATTTCGATGCTAAGGCAGCGAGAGAAAAGAGGTTGTTACAGCTCAATGAACTAGATGAGCTTCGTCTCGAAGCTTATGAAAGTTCAAGGTTATATAAAGAGAAAACAAAAAGGTGGCATGACAAGAACCTTGTGAGGAGAGAGTTCAAAGAAGGAGATCAAGTCCTTCTTTTCAATTCTAGGTTGAGATTGTTCCCAGGTAAGCTTCGGTCTAGATGGTCGGGTCCATTCAAGATCAAGAAGGTGCATCCCTACGGCACTATTCAGTTGGAAAACGCAAGAGGGGAACCCTTTAAGGTCAATGGGCAAAGAGTAAAGCATTACCGAGTTGGTGACCCCATCGATGAAGGAGTGGACATCACACTCTCTTCCCCAACACCGATCCAATAAGTATCATTATGGTCAAGCTAAAGACCTTATAAACAAGCGCTTTCGGGAGGGCAACCTGCTTTTCGTATAATTTTTTTATTAGTTTTATCTCTCTTGGTTTTTTTATGTCGTTTTTGTGTTGTGCTTGTTATTTTTCAAAGAACATCAGTATACAGGAAGAGCGAGATGCCGAGAGATTTTGTCAAGAGTGGAAAATAAGGCGATTTGCTCGCTGCCCGGTCAGACCGGGCAAGGAAAGCCCGATCGGGCGTGATCAACAATTAAAGGAGGCAGCTATTGAAGAAGGCGAAATTGAAAGCAGGAAGGCAAACCTTCTCCGCCCGATCAGACCGGGCAACCAGAGCCTGATCGGGCGCGAAAGCCGGTTTGCTTTGTGAAGCTGCGCACTTGGCTTGGCTAGGTAGCCCTCCTCTGCCCGATCGGGCAAGAGGGGGTGACATACCTGTTCATATAAAAAAAAAGAAGAAGAATAACAGTGCCCGATCGTGCGCGAACAACAACCAAGCAACACATCAACAGGACACAACCCAGCTTCCCTCCGCCCGATCAGACCGAGCAAGCCCCGCCCGATCGGGCGCGAGGGGTATCCTGCGTATTTCACCACCTTAAATCCAAATTTCCTTCTTCTTTTTCTCACTCTTTCATTCACTCTCAATCATCTTCTACTCTTTCTCTCTCTAAAATTCCCCAATTTCCAAACCCTAACTCTTTCAATCTCCATAATTCTCCACAATTCCTTCATCAAAACTCCAAATTTCTTCACCCTCCATCCTCCTTATTCAATTCCTAACATCCATAACCATTTTTCTTACCCCAACTTCCCTTCTCACCAAAAAAAAAAATCCCAATGGCTTCAATGTTTACAAGGAAGAGGAATAGAGGAGCACAACAACAATAATTGGACTTGGAGAGCATCCCGGCATACCTAAATATCCGGTTCGTTCTCGAGTTCCTGAATCAAAAAGCAAGGTTGCTTGAGCTTCAATATAGGAAGGTAATTCCTACTCGGTTCATAGACCGATCTCTTCTTGCTAGGCTACCAGAAGAGTGAATGCATCAAAGGGCCAGGAAATGATCCTTTCCAATTCTTGGCTAGGTGTTTACAACAATATCACCTGTCCACTTCAAGCCATATCTCAGTTAGTGCCACATCTATTCCCTACACACAAATACACAAAAGTGAGTTTAGTTGTTACTTGCAATTTCAGAAATCAAAGTGTGAGTGACAGAGCTAACTTACTTTTTGTCTGTCTGAAATAATACACCAGCCATTACCCCTTCCCAGAACCTGACAGAATATGCTTCAAGTGCCAGAAAAAATACTTCCAACTGTCACCATCTTCCTTGGGAACTATAGCCCATGCAAAAGGAAACAATTCATTGTTTCCATCTACAACCACATCAGACAGAAGGACCCCACCAAAATGTCCTTTCAAGTGAGCTTCATCAACCCCCACTAAACTCCTACATCCTGCAACTACACCATCAATGGCAGCCTTGAATGAAATGAATATACTTGAGAAAGTGAGGGATGGATCAGGTGGATTAAGTTACTTCCATGCACAGTTAGCTGCAGATCCTTGGTTGGTTTCTTTAACCATCTCACAATACTTTGGCAAATTTCCATAAGAAGTATCATGCCCACCATTTATCTCCTTCAATGCTACCCCTTTCATCTTGTAAAGGGTACTGGTTGCCATATGCACTCCATATCTACTGAATAAGAGATCATTCAATGTCTTTCTAGAGATGTCATTATTAGCCCTTATATCTTCCATTAGTTTTTCTGCAGCCCATTTAACAGTCACTAGGGGATTCCTTTCATCTAGGCCTCCACAAGTGTGCTCAGAGTTCTTTATACTCTTTATAGCCCAAGTAACTCCATCTGGTAGCCTACTTGAATGAATTCTCCAACCACAATTTAAAGCAAGGAGGAAGCAGTGAACCTCCTTGGACTGCTCCTATCAACCACTACTGCAAAACCACATTGTAAACAATAATAATCTCTGAAGACAAACATGAAATGCTCTTTATCACTGAAGATCATCCAGGGCTTCAACACTATACTGCCAAACTCAACACAAATTCACCATTTTTATGCATCCTACTAAAAATAAGTGTCATATGTATACAGACCTCTTTGCCAGCAAACTGATATGTATGGGTCATATGTGTCATGAATACTCCCAAATTCACTACTAGAAATATGCCGATTTCTGACGGACCAGTTCCGACGGATATGTTTTTCCGTCGTAAATTCCGACAGATTTTTATTCCGTCGGAAATTTACGACGGATTTCCTACTGAATAATATTCCGTCGGAATTTATGGGAATTCCGACGGAAATATAATCCGTCGGAAATTTCCGACGGATTATTTGGTCGAACCGTTAAGTTTCCGATAGAAATAAAATCCGTCGAAAATTTCCGACGGAATATTCCGTCGGAAAATAATTAAATAATAAAAATAAATACCTAAAAACACGGTCCTCTCCCTTCTCTTCTCCTCACTTTCATTTTTCATTTCTCTCTCCTCTCTCTTTGCCTCTACTCTTTCCCCTCTCTTTCTCTCGTTTCTCTGTCCTCTCATCTCCTCTTTCTCCCATCTCTTTCTCTCGTTTCCCTGTCCTCTCCTCTCCTCTTTCTCTCTCCTCTCCTTTTTCCTCTTCTCTTTCTTCTTCCATCTTCTTTCCCTTCTCCTCTACTGTCTCAACAACAACAAATTAAGGCAACCCATCACCCACCGTCAACAAAAAATTACGGCAACCCACCCACCGTCAACAACAACAACGACTACCCACCCACTATCAACAACCACAACGACCGAGCGACAACCAACATCAACACCAACAATAACGGCGTAACAACCACCGTCATTCACTTTCAAGGTTTTTGTTTTGTAGATCTAGTTTTAATTTAGTATAGATTGTAGATCTAGTTAATTTTTTTATGTAATTGTAATATTAATTATAAATTTGATTAGATAATTGTATTTCCTTTAATTTTTGTTGTTTAATTGTCGTTTTTTTTCATTTGTTTAGAAATTCTAATTAAAAATGTAGATCTACTGACTTTGATTTTCTTTGTTTGGTATTTTTCGATTATGTTGTGTTAATTTTCATATTTTTGGCCTAATTTATGTTTTTTTGGGGTTAAATTCGTTTTTTTGGGGTAAATGTTTGGTGTGGTGGTGTCGGTGGTGGTGTGTGAGGGTGGGATAGCGGCTGGTGTGGGTGGCATCGATGGTGGTGGTTGGTGGATTTGGTTTAAATTTTAGTTAGGGTTACGATTGGTGGTTTGTTGTGGGTTAGAGTTAGGTGGGTTAAGGGTTAGGTGGTTGGTGTGATGGGTTACGGTGGTGGGTGTGGTGGGTTAAGGTCATGGGTCTGGTTATGGTGGTTGGTTTGGGTAAGGTGGTGGGTTTGGGTGAGGTGGGTATTTTTTTTTTATTGTTTTTTAACATTTTCCGACGGAATTGAGTCCGTCGAAAGTTTCTGACGAATTTTTCCGGTGCCGGAAAACCTCTTCCGACGAATGTATTCCATCGGAAAGGTGTTTCCGACGGAATTTCCGACGAAAAAGGTCATTTAACCTACAAAACGGTTTCCGACAACCGGTTCCGACGGAAAATAGGGTGTTTCCGACGGATTTTTGCCGTCGGAAATGGGTTGTTTTCTAGTAGTGATTCTTCATCCTCTTCATATTCATCATCAATATCATCTTCTAACGCAGCACCCTCATCCATTTCATCCTCCAGCACAGCACCCTCATCCATTTCATCTTCCAGCACAGCCCCCTCATCTATTTCATCTTCCAGCACAGCCTAAGCATCCTTAGCTCTACTACTTTCACCAATCTCATATGTTCCACAACCTAAGCGTCCTTAACCTGCCTAATCATAACTGCTTCATTAAACTCACTCTCACTCACCACCATGGCTTCAACCATAGTTTTATTGGTCTGAACATTCTTCTTCCTAGTAGCTATACTCCTTGGTATTTTGTGAAGGACAAGAGCAGAGTTACATTTCAACATTGAGGGTATTGCTAAGGAAGAATCTGATTTTTTATGAAATACAGGTGCATTTGAGAAAGTTTGTTGTGGGGTCATGGTTTCTTTATCACTAGCTAGTTGAAGCTTTCTCTTGAGAGGTAGTTTCTTAGGTTTCACAGTTTTAGATGTACTCTTTTTTTTCCTCTTTTGTTGACTCTCCTGTTCATACTCCTCTATATTATCAATTCCTGCATTGTGCTCTAATTCTATCTCGATCTATCCTAATATCATTCCAGTACTCCTCACCATTGGGACACTCTTCATTCCCACCTTGTTCATTAACTGGTGCACTTTTCTTAGGTGGGCTAGCACCAAAATGTACACTAGGATTATTTGTAAGTGATTCAGCAAGCTTTCTAGCTGCAATTATACAGTCAATAGGTTTGTCAACACAACCAATCCAAATAGTAATCTCTTCCCTATCCCTTAATCTATCCAGCATTGACATTAAATCACTATCAAAAGTAATCTTAAAATCTTTCATGTTATAGCAGTAGTGAAAGCTAGGGAATTTAGGGAAGTCATAGTTCTTTTTTCTAAACCCTTCCTCACACTCAATGATCAAATCTATCAACATGACCTTGTCAATATCTTCAACAAATACTTCAATTACATTACCCATATAGGCAAACTTTAGCATAGACTGATCCATTCTGCAACATAACAACCACACGCATATATTTTAACATCAAACATGTACTAGCAAGCATAAAGATTTCATCTTTGATCAACATGTACTCAGACAAAGAAAAACAGAGCATTTAACTTTTGCAAGTATAAGAACAACATGAACAAACTTAAGGTTAAAGGACATACCTTTCTTAAGGTCTGTATACCACTTCAGCTACTGCTAGAAGGTCCACGATTGTGCGAATTCCTTCAGAATTTAAACAACAAACCCTAATTTCGACCTAAAAAATTCACCAAAAATCGAACTATTCCAAGCCGTTAATCGATAACAATTGCTCAACAATTTCGCCAAAAAATCGTCACGCAAATGTGTTTGATCCTTACAAATCTTTAATTAATTTGTTTCAGTGTATGATTTGGTGGAGGTTAAAGGAAGAGGAAAGGGTTTGGGATTTTTTTGTTAATCAATGTCGAGTAAACAGTAGAAATGTAGTGGCCATTAATGAAAAGAGGAGGGAATCAATTAATTCAGGGGTAGGTTAGTCTTTTTGTGTAATGTAGTTATAAAATGAGCCATTTAGTAGTTGATTAGCTCATTTAATGATAATTACGCCACTGAAATCAAGTCAGTGAAACCAGAGTGCCACTAAAGAGAGTTGAAAAAAACCTTGTCTTCCACGTAGAAAACTTAAAACCATGAGCCCACTATGTAGAATTTCCCATAAATAATTTTAACAAAAAGACTTATATTCTAAAGCAGGATTATCTCATCAGTCGCTGTAAGTTAAGAATACTTGGGCTTCACGCAGACCAAGACTAAGTTCCTGCTGTCCTTTATTCTCCAGCTCCTTGCTGGAACTTCGCAGGCCAAGTTCTTATAGAACTTGCTGTCTTCAACGTAGACCAACCAATCTTCTTAGCTTGTTGTCAAGCTTCTGTTAGGGAACCTTTTTTAGTGTTCCTTTTAGGGAACTCAGTTAGTTCCATTGTGGAACTCTTCTTCTACTTTCTTTAACATTCCTTAGGAACTCCTTGAGTCTTCATAGTCAGGTTACTCTTCCACTATCCAAGTCAACTTCACCTGTCTAGTTAAGCACTTAGAGAAATCGCAATAGTTGAAGTTTCCCTTTATTCATCATCATCAAAACTCTTAAGCTTCAACATATATTTTCTTTGATAGATACATCAATTTGACATTTTATATTGTTTATAAATTTATTTTGCATGATCATTTGTATCTTTAAGTATATTAATAAAAATTATGAAATTTTGGTAATTTGAAAATATACATTGAGATTAATACTATTAGTATGTGAAAGTGGTCAAAATTAGAATATATATAGTGTAAAAAGTTAAACCGATGTATCTTTTAAAAATGAAGGCAGTATTTCTTATTGTGTACTATAGAAGGATTGCATATCATAGTGTTATGTGTTTGCTTCATATTAATTACTCCATATAAAGGCCATGTTAAAAAAAATAAAAAAACAATAGTAAAAAAAAGTTCAGTTCAATAAAAATAATTTCATATCAGTAAAAATAAGTTTAGTTCAGTAAAAGTATGTAACTATAAAGAAGAAATAAAATAGTTAATTGGTAAAAATAATATTAGTTTAGAAAAAGTAATTTCAGTTCAGTAAAATTAATTTTAATTCAGTAAAATTAATTAAATTTCAGCAAAATAATTTCAATTCAATAAAAAATAATTCCAATTCATCAAAAATAAGGTAAACTGAACTGGGCTAAATATAGATGTACACAAGCATTTTCTCTTTTTATCTTCTAAAATTTTATACGAGTAACTTTTGGTTAAAATTAATGATTTCCATAAAAGAAATTAACTATAGATCGATTACTTCACCACATCACATGCATTTTAGGAGTGTTCAAATTTTGGTCCGAGAAGACTGAAAAATGGATCGAACTAGACCAAATTATTTGGTCTGGTCTCTTGGTGGAGATATTATCTTTTCCGATTTTTGATCCAGTCTAAAATCCTTTAAAAAAATTAGTCTTGGATCGGACTAGGTTTTTTGCTTTAAGTATGCATAAAGTTTTATAAATGATTTAAGATTATCGATCCTTACTTTATATATATTGAATAATTAGCGTTAAATTGGCAAAAAAACAATGTAAATACCTCGTTTTCAGTGTTAATATTGTCTTTAAAATAAATTTAACACGCAAAACGAGAGATTTATTTTTTTGCAATTTTGAACTCATTTTAGGTCCTTAATGAGAGATTAGTCCCCAAAAACTTTAACGGAACAATTTTCGACTGAAAAAAATAATGACACGTAAACCGATACAATAATTAACATGTAAAACGAGACATTTACATTATTTTTTTGCCAAATTCAAGTATACTTTGGACCCATAAGAGCTAAAATGAAAAGTCCTTAACCAAACAATTTTTTTCGGCTAAATTATATCAATATGCAAATCGAGTCATTTGTAGACATGCAAAACAAGACATTTACGTTATTTTTTTTCAATTCCGAACTCAATATCAAGTTCTAAGGGCAAAAATGACCCCCAAACCTTGAAAGAACAACTTTCGGCACACAAAATGAGGGAAACATATTAAAAAGTGGAGAGTGGACCCCCACAAATAATTTTCTTGATAGAAACTATAAGTGGGTAGCAAAACCAAAAGATTTTGACTTTCAGCGGTAGTTAAATAATTTTTTTTTTTCTTTAAGATAGTTATTTTCAAAACGATGCATTTAAAAGGTAATAAATGTCAAAATTTTCTTAAGTTGAACAAATATTTTGACCCAATATTGATCTGACCCAATTATGGCCTTGTCCATTAAAGTCTCCGCCATTAAAGACTCTTTAAAACCTTTGTCCTAACCCTATTACCATTGGATTACCTAATCCAATAACCAGGTCTAGTGTCAGGGCTCCCTAATTGGGTAGAACAATAACATTCCGTTATTCACAAAATTATATATCTAAACTAACTAACCCTTATTTAACTTATTAGATTTTATTAAATTTGAAATAAGTGAAATTAAGGTAAGGAGAGCATAACCTGAAAGTACATTTTCTTTGGAAAAAAAATCGTAAAAAAATCACTTACATTAATTGCAAATAGAAATAAAGACAGAGAAGATATTGGGTAAGACTTTCCTCACCAATAACTTTTTGAGAAAAACCCAAAATAAGGAAAGTCCAATCTTTAAAAATGATAAATCAATTATAATGATATTATCCAAATAGTTACTTATATTATTCGGACAATTAACCATGTCATCTAGCCAATCAATCATATCATCCAGCTTATACACTTTAAGTATCATCCAAATAGTAACTGATATTATCGGGACAATTAATCACAAAAAAATCATCTGACCAAATGATCACGCCATTCTGCTTAGACAATTTTTTAGGAGCGATAAAAAAAATTAATAACAATAACAATAATAATAATACTAATAATAATAATAATAATAATAATAATAATAATAATAATAAAGAAGATGATGATGAGTTTAATTTACCAAGTCGAACTCGCAGCAGATATGGAGTTTTAATATCATTATCTGATCAAATGGTTCTGATCATAGTTGATTGAAAATGTGATGATTTGTTTCACTTGTTTGGAGGAGATTGTTTGTGTGAAGGTGAGCGCCGTCTCACTAATGTTAAGCATCACCCAGTACTTTGTGTTGAAGAAATCGACAAACTACAAGTAGTGTTTAGACACTACTTTTTGGTACCTAATTCACTAATATGAGGTTTACTTTCATTTCTTTTCATTTTCATAACGATATTCTACATCTTCAAAGCTGCTACGTAACTAATTAATTGGCCCACTGTAACATATGGCAACAAAGCACAAACTCGTGCTGTCGTGCATGTATGGTATAGCTTGTTCGCTAAATAAGATACTAAAAGGATAATCTGTGGCACACAAGTCGACCAAATATTCATAGCCAGACATAATCCCTTCATTTCTTGTACGTACGTGAATACATGCTAGTGTAGTATTTGTGTTATATTTTATATAATATCTATTCTCTTATCACAAAGCCAAACACAAATAACTGTTGTATTTCGTCGTTATATTACATCATTATATTAATAGTTCAATTTATGTGTGTAGTGTACTATTAACGTGATTATTAATTTTGAACAGGGATAAGAGTAACTACTTGTCTTAAAAAGAGATATGGAAGGAAAAGGAATAATGTTTGTAGTATTTTCTTTGGTATGTGTTGTGTTGCTGAATTTGTTGTGGAGTATATTGAAGTGGGTATGGTTGAAGCCTAAAAGATTAGAAAGATGTCTCAGAAAGCAAGGTTTCCATGGTAACTCTTATAGGCTACTCTATGGAGATACCAAAGACAAAGAAAGGATGCTGATTGAGGCTAGATCGAAACCCGCTATGCCGTATTTATCAAATGATCATCTTTCACGTGTTCTTCCATTCTTTCAACACACTGTCAATACATACGGTACGTACTTGTGTGGACACGACCTGTGTTTTACTAAATTTTATGTGTTATTCCTGGTTGGAATTTTCAAAAGTTTTCATCGCATATAACTATGGATTCTAAAGCGTAGTACAATAGATTTTTGTTAAATTCGTTTCAATTTATAATTACCAATTAAAATTTTATAATACTTATTTAAAGGTATTTAAATTCAAATGCATGCATGAAAAACTTACGGAAAAAAAAAAATAAAAAAAAATTACTAACAACAAAAGAAAACGAAGGAAATTCCATATTAATATTGCCGCTTTTTGCGGAAAAACACTGAATTAATTCCAAGTGTAGATTATTATCATGTGTACACCCCAAGCATGCAATTGTTTTTCCTATCGATCAAAAAAGTGGAAAAAAAAATTGTTTTATAAAATGGATCAACATATACTTTCATTTATATATATTGAATAACCAAACAATCGGCTTGTCTATGATTTTATAGGATTTATGCTAATCCGTAATTGAAAATTTTGACATACAATTTTGTAATACGGAGTAACCTAAAATTTGAAAAGTGAATTAATTTATATATTTATTTTTAATTTTTTAAATTTGACATACAATGCGTCAAATTCAGGGCGACTTGATAGGGGATGATGATAGGTCCTCCTCCTTATGTGTCGCCTGTTGTGAGTCTTGTGACATGCTAGGCGGTTTATGATAAGTTCAGGGACAATACTAGTCACTAGATAAAGGTAATTATTTTAAATAGGAAAATTTGTAAAAAAAAAAAAAAATCCTTTTAAAAGCATTATTTTGCGAAAAAAAAGCCCTTTTAAAAGCTTTTTGGTTACAAAAAATTACCATATTAATTTTTTTTTAGCGAGAGGAAACCTATTTCCCTAATTACCCTCTAATTAACTTAATTAAACTCTAATTTCTTCTCATTTCTTCTAACTAACCTCTAACCCATCAAATTACTCAATTATTAGATTTAATTAATATATATATATATATAAACCACCACCCCCTCCCCTTCCTCCTCCCTTTCTCCCTTCCTCCTCCCATGGCATCAACCCTCTCCCCCACTTGACCTGCTGTCCAGAGCCCATCCACCTCCGGCGACCTCTTCCACCGCCAGACGACCCTCCCTTTCCCCCTAATCACCGCCCGACAACCACCTCCTTGATTTTGAAAAAACCTAGAAAATTGATTTGGGGGGTTTTTTAATTTTGTGCATCTTGCTTGCAATTGATGCTTGTTTTGGCTTTGATTATGTGTGTATGTAATGCTAGGGTGATATAGAAGCAAATTGCAATTGATTTGGACTTGATTTGAGCTTGTTTGAGTAAATAAGAGCAAAAAATTTGAAGGGAGGTGGTGGTCGCCAACGGGGATAAGGGGGAAAGGGAGGGTCAATCGATCCGGACGTGGAGGCCAAGTAGGTCGCCGGAGGTAGGGGGATTTGGGTGACGAGTCCGGTGGGTGAGGGGGTTGCTTCCAAGGGAGGGGGAAGGGAGGAAGAAGGGGAAGGGGTGGTTAGTTGGTGGTTGGGGTGGTTGTTTTTTTTATGTATAAATTTAATCTAATTATTAAGTAATTGGGTGGGTTAGAGGTTAATTAGAAGAAATGGGAAGAAATTAGAGTCTAATTAATTTAATTAGAGGATAATTAAGGAAATGGTCTGGGTTTCCTCTCGCAAAAAAAAAAATGAACTGATGTTTTTTTTAACCAAAAAGGTTTTAAAAAGGTTTTTTTTTTATTTTTTTTGCAAAATGGTACTTTTAAAAGGTTTTTTTTTGACAAATTTTCCTTTGAAATAAGAGCACGCTTGGTAAGAGTTTTTTTGGGTTGGAAAAGGATTCAATTGAGTCATTGCCGTTTTCAAGTGTCTGGTTGAAAAGGTTTGGGTAACAATTACCATTATTTAAGGGTAATGGTTTTCACCCATTTGTTACCTCTCTAAAATCTAAGGTAATAATTATCCTTGCACTCAAGGGGGTGTTTGGTTCGGAAAATGGAAATGGAGTGGAAAGGAAACAAATAAGAGGGGGGGGGGGGGAATGAATCATTTAGTTATTACCTTTTCATGTGTTTGGCTTAACCATGGAAAAGTTATTTGTTAAGAGGAAAGTAAGGGTATTTGTTACCCCAATTTATTGAGAGGTAACAAATGAGGGGTAACCATTACCCTTAGGTAATGGTAATTGTTACCATGCCTTCAAACCAAACACATGGTAACGATATCGGTTTAATCGAATACGTTTCCAAACCAAAAAATACACTAACCTAACGCCCCCTATAAGTAATAGTTTCTACCCATTTATTTCCTCTCTAAAACCTAAGGTAACAATTACCCTTACTCTTCTCAAACAAAAATAAAGAGAGATAGGTTTAAGTAATTCCTTTTCATGATTAAACCTAACAAATAAAAAGGTAAAAATGTTTTCTTTTCTCCCTCTTATTTGTTTGTTTTCCACTCCATTTCCATTATTTCATACCAAATGCCCCCTAAAAGTGTACGAAATTTTAACTACTTACAAAGTTTCGCATTTTTGATACCTACTCCATATTAAAGGTGTCAAAAACCAATTTGGCCTGAAACTAATCTAATAAATTAATTTCGATTTTAACTTATATGAACACAATAATTAAGCATGGTTTAAACTTAAAACTAGACCTCATCTGACCCCACTACACCTATCCCAAACATCTTAATTGATAGCTATACCTTTAGTACGTGAATCTAGTCCATATAATAAGTCATCTATGCAAACAAGTTGGTAAATTTGTAATGGATGAGTTCTTATTTTAAGAACATTAAGCAAGTCCTTTCTCTGTCTTATTATAATGGTTACACTTGAGGTTCGTATAGCAGTTTAACAAGAACTGATTTAAAATTGAGATATGCATGTATAACTTATACGATTTTATTTTGGTTTGTTTTTTCTTCTAAAAAACTATCTAATAAAATCTAAATTTTATGAAAAACTATCTAATAAAAAAAATATTGTAAGAAACATCTAATAATAAAAGGTAAAATGTTGTAAAGTATTATTTTTGGACGAATTTCCACCGTCAACCTAATTTTATGGCGTTGAGCCACCTCAAAACAACCCCGAAACCACTACGGGGTTGATTTTCAAGGTGGTAAGGTTATTTTCGGGGTGATTAGAGGATATTCCGAGTTGGTGAGAGTAGTTTCGTGATTCGGGATGTTGGTTTTTGGGGTTAGAGGTGGTGGTTTTGGGATTGAAGTAGGTTGAGTTTATTTTGGGGTAAAAGCGATGGTTTTGGGGGTGTTTTGAGGTGGGTCAATAGTGGATTTCCGGTAGAGGTAGTATTATACAACATTTTACATTTTATTAGGTAATTTTTTACAATATTTCACCTTTTATTAGGTAATTTCTTACAACAATTTTTTATTAGGTAGTTTCTCACAAAACCTGGGCATTATTATTAGGTAGATTTTGACAAAAAAAAAATCCTTTTATTTTATTTATTTATTTATTTTTATTTATTTATTATTACGAAAGGGAAATTATTACATTAGGTGGACTTTTATAAAAAGAAAAAAATTAAAAAAAAAATTAAAAAAAAAATTATAATTAGTATTTTTGAATTAAAAATAAATTTAAAAGGCAAATTATCTTCCCTATATAACGTGGCATCAAGTAAAATGTAACAATTAAATTGATATGTACATATATACTTATGTACAGGTAAAAGATGTTTTATGTGGAATGGTCCAACGCCCTTGGTTACGATTTCGGAACCAGAATTGATGAGAGAAGTGTTTATGAAGATAAACGAGTTTCAGAAGCCACAATCGAACCATTTTTTTAAGCAGCTCGCAACTGGTTTGGTTCAAGTAGAGGGTCATGTATGGGCCAAGCGGAGGAAGCTACTCAATCCAGCTTTTCACATTGACAAGCTAAAGGTTTACTTGTTTTCTAATTTTTTATACCTCCTCTATTACATATTACTCGCAACAAAAAGGTATTATTTGTGAGACATAAAATATTCCTCTGTTGCGAATAATATGTAACGCAGGGAGTATTTTGTTTAATTCTACTTCCATTTTGTCATTTATTTTCACATTAAAAAAATACTACAGTACCTCCCTTATTTCAATAAGCATTTGATTATGTAACAGTAACACACCAGGATGTAAGATAAATATGTTACACTATCGGCTATGTTGTAACCCGTCATAATTGAATTGTAGTTTATGCTTCCTGCATTTTGGACAAGTTCATATCACATGATCCAAGAATGGGAAGAACAGGCGTCAGAGACGGGGTCTTGTGAGATAGAAGTATGGTCACATTTGCATAAGCTATCTGCAGATGTCATTTCAAGAGCTGCGTTTGGAAGTAGTTATGAAGAAGGGAAAAAAATATTTGAATTCATAAACGAGCAAATTATGGTTGCCATGCCACTTATAAATTCAGTTTATATCCCTGGATTGAGGTAATTATATGTGTCTTATTAACCAAATTTTTTAGTTCTTACCTTACAAAATTAATGAGCAAGAGATTGTTTCATTACAAAAAGTTATTATTTCAAAAGGTTTTTAATAATTTATCACTCCCAAAGTTTTGCATGAATAACCATAAAAAATACAATGAATATTTTTGCTATAAAATGGTAAAAAGATAATTTATTTGGCAACATTTTGCAATACATTGAGCAGTAGAATATTTATCATTAGCATAGTGCCCATACGACGCACGGTTTATAAATCAAATTATTAATTCCGTAGGAAAAAAACAAAGATAATTCAATTAGTAATAAAGGACTAATTTACTAATGGTCGATACAAAAATAAAAGATTGTAATTTAAATAGTATTTTATGTTATTTGCATTTCTTTTAATTTTTATAATGTTATTTTCTTAATTAAAAAATAAATGAATAATGCTCCACATAACTATATAAGAGAAGTAGACTAATTTGTTTTCTATCTTCGTAGGGAAAAAAGTAAAATTTTCTTATCATATCATTCACTTTAGCAACTACAATCTAATACATGTTTTACCCGTCGTGTTCACCAAATCTATAGACATGATAATAACTATATATTTGACCCACCAGTATTGTATATGATATATGGAGTAACATTTATAGTTAGAAATTAATAGATATGGAGAATATTTTAATTTAAATTTGGGAAATATGTGAATAAAAAAAGTCATAATTATATGATTTGGTGAATATTGTATATAATTTATAATAGATAGTTGATGGCATTGACCAAAAAAAAAATAAAAAAAAATTAAAAATTAAAAATTAAAAAAAATTAGAAAAAGGGAAGGGGAGTTTTGGACTTTTGGAGGCAAAATACAACACCTGAAAGTGACACAAAATACAACACCTGAAAGTGACATGTGTCATTCCTGATGTATGTTTTAGTATTATGTTATTATTAATTATATGCATACTCCCTCCGTCCCTTTATTTTTGCCCCATTGCAATTTTAAGGTCAAACTTTGAAAACTTTGACCATTAATTACCAATAATCTATAAAATATAATATAGTCATGAATGGTCTTGTTAAAATTCATCTCATTGTATATTTTATTAATATCACGTTTTTATAATTTTTACGTGTATAGAAATAAAGATATGGAGGTTTTGATACGCGTCTTAGAGATTGTGCACATTTAAATGGGACAAAAAAAAATAGGGATAGAGGGAGTATATAAGATACATACGAAACTAGAAGGCTATAATCTCTTAGCTTGATTTTTATATGGAAAATTTGATTTGAATAATCTAACCTTAGGCCGATTTAATTTTTATTAATCCAACCTGTGATTATTCTACAATAATCCCAGCTTTACTCCTCATTCTTTTCTATTAGGCTAAAATGACCAGTTACCTGTATAGCAGGTAATTTTTATTTTATTTTTTCAAATTTAACAAAAATAAAGGAAAAAATAAATTAAAAAAAAAAAAAAAAAACCTCTCTCTCCTCCTCCTTCCCCAGCCACTCTACCACCCCTCTCCTTCCTTCCAACCCTCTACCGCCCAGTCGCCCTCCCCTCCCCTCCCCCCACTCCTCAACTGCATACCTTATCGACTTCAGCCACTCTGTAACCAACCGAAACCCTCATTCCCGCAGCCCGAACTCAACCCACCATGAACACCCTCAATTGTCGATGGGTTTCAGCGATTTCAAATTTCGAGAGAGGGCGGGCGGGTTTTCTGGGCTTCGTTTTGACGGAAGTGAGTGATTTCTAAGTTTCGACTGGGTTTCGGCGAAGGTGGGTGAATTTCGACGGAGATAAGTTGAATATTTGTTAGGTTACGTGGGTTAGATATTTTTGGATTCGAGTTTCGCCAAGGGAGCGAGGGTGGCTAGTAATGTGGGCAGGTGGAGGTTGACGTTAAAGGGAATTAGGAAGAAAGGGTGAGGGAATAGGGGGCTGTTGTTGGTAGGTTTCGGGGCGTTGCTGCTGGTGGTGGGTTGAGGGAGGTTGGTTGCTCTGGTGTTGGTAGCCGGGAGTCATGGAGGGAATGAAGGAAGGGGAAGGGGAAATGAAAAGAAAAAAAAAATTGAAAAAAGAAAAATTTATGCAAATCAAAATATGACACGTGGTAAGGTAACCTACTATTGTAGGTTGGTGACCGGTTTGGCCTAATAGAAAAAGATGGGGTATAAAACTTGAATTATTGTAAAATAATCAAAAGGTTGGATTATTAAAAACAAATCGGTCAAAGGTTAAATTATTTAAATCAAATTTTCCTTTTTATGTATAGATAAAATTTCATTTTATTAACTTTCAAGGTCAAATTTTTCATAGTGCCTAAAATAGCATGAAGGCAATTGTGTTCATTTTTCATTTAGCATGTGAAATGTGAATGTGAATGTGAACTAGCTTTCTGATGTCACTTTCTTTACACCAAAGGAAAAAAAAACATCTTCCACACAATCCTTACTTAGTGCTAGCATTTTCATCAATTTTGTATTTTTTTTTTTTTTGAATTTAGGTTTGTCCCAACTAGGGCACATAAGAGGATGGCGGACATTGACAAACAAATCCGCACTCTACTGAAAGGTATTATTGACAATCGTAAGAAAGCGATGAAGATGGGAGAAAAATCGAAGGATGATTTGTTGGGTTTATTACTAAACTCAAGTTTCCAAGATATTCAAAATGGAAGTAAGAAGCAAAATTTGACTAAGTTGGATCTTAAAGAAGTGATTGATGAATGCAAGATATTCTACTTAGCAGGCCAAGAAACTACTTCCACATTACTTGTATGGACATTAATTTTACTTGGAAAACATCAAGAATGGCAAGCACGAGCACGAGAAGAGGTTCGAAAAATATTTGGAAATGAAAAACCAGATCTTCATCAATTAAATCATCTAAAAACGGTAAGTACAAAGGCTATATTTCTGCAAATAGTATCCTCAAATTTTTATTACTATATGATTTCCATCAGCATATATACATTTTAAAACTCATAACTAAATGACCTCTAAATATTATACTAAATTTCATATACAACTTTTGTACTACATATCTTACAAATGGTTAAAATAGAGATATGTTTATTTAGTCGAAATAAGATGCTCTGAATTGTGATAGATTTGGTTTAAAGTCTAACTGCTAAATGTCTAATCCAATTTTGATTAGCATAGTCTAAGGCCTTGTTTGGTAAATGGCTTTTGGCTGGCTTTTTGATTGGATTTTGGCTTTTTCTATTGGTCAAACACCCAAAATACATGTTTTATAATTAATAATTAATAATTAGTAATTAGTAATTAATAAGTGGTAATTAATATTTATTAATTAGTAATTGGTAATTAATAGTTAATAATTAATAATTAGCAAATAATAGTTTTTTTTTTGACAAAAGAAAATAATAGTAATTAATATTCAATACTTAGTAGTTAATAATTTTTTTTTTGAAAAGAAAATTAATTCATTAATAGAAGAGTCATACGACATCTACAATATAAATCAAAAGTAGCAAATACAATACAAACTGAATCAAATAATATTCTTGACAAAACTACGATCGTTGTTATCCAGATCTGACATTTCTAAATGCCCTCTTTCACACCGCTGTTTGATACAGCTTTTCACGAGGGGGTCTTTCGATCTATTGTAGTTTTGGAATCGAACACCATTCGATACAATTGATTGTAGAGGTAGAATTAATCTCCATGGCGACACAGCACAACTCTTCATCAACAAATCAATTTTTCTTACGAAATTAAAGAACATAGCCCCAAAACTCTCAAAAAGAGAGAAATTAACCGGATATACAGGTAGAAATAACCCGATATACGGGTAGAAAAACTCTCAAATAGAGAGACTATAATTATTGTGAGCATAAAGTAAAAACTAGTAAGAAACTAAAAGATTAGGGGCTTACCATCAACCAAAAGGTTGGTGGTAGCCCTTGAAACAAGAATTTTTTTTTAGGGTTTTTGAGGAGGAAGAGAAAAGAGGAGAGGCGAAGAGTTTTTAGTAGTTAAGAGTTTTTAGTAGTTAATAATTAGTAGTTAATAATTAATAATTAGTAAATTAGTAATTATTATTACTTAAATATTAATAGTTAGTAATTATTAGTACTTAATAATTAGTAGTTCGTAATTAACAATTAGTAATTATTAATATATAACTAATAATTAGTAATTAGTACTTAATAACTAGTAATTAGTAATTATTAATATATAGTTAGTATTTTGTATTAGTAATTTATAATTAAAAATCAGTAACTAGTAATTAGTAATTAATAATGCTGATAATAAATGAATAAGAACACATAATAATGTCCTTTAAGGTCATTTTGCATAGTTACAACCAACAGCTAATTGCTGATTTTACCAAACATATTTACATACAACAAATGGTCAAACAAGCACTATAAACAACCAATACTAACGGCCAGTCAAACAAGCCAAGTTAAACAGCCACCAGCCAATAGCCAATTGCCAAACAAGGCCTAAATGTTTCTGTGTATGTTTTGTCTTTTTCTTTCATTTAATATAAAATAAAAAATATATTAATTGTATGTGTTCGTTTATGTGTGTGTAATCTAAATTTGGTGATGAATTACAAATTTAAACATTAAATTTTTTTATATGTTATCAATATATGTTTAGTAATTACTCCTTCTGTCCCTTTATTTTTGCCCCATTGGCATTTTATGGGTCAAACTTTGTAAACTTTGACTATAAATTACCGTTAATCTATAAAATATAATATAGTCGTGTGTGATCATGTTAGACTCGGCTCATTGCATATGTTATTAATATCATGTTTTTATAATTTTTACATGTATTGAAATGAAGGTATGTGCGTTCAAAAACGCGTCTAGGAAACTATGAAAAGTCAAATGGGCAAAAAAATAGGGACGGAGGGAGTAGTATGGTATGATTTTGATTTAGTGTGACATATAAAGTGTATAGATATTCAAATATGAGACGTAAGTGATATAAAATTCATCACCCTAGTACGTTACCCTTATAAATTTTAAGTGAAATACATTTAATATTGATCGACATTTTCTTACTCAAGTTTATTAATTTTGTCATCAAGCTATGTTAGGAATCGGGGGAGAGACAAGGAGAAGAGAATAACCCACACATAAGCCTAAGTGAGGTTCCATTCCAAAACCATATGGCAATAGAAGGAGTAGCTCACTTAGGTTATAAACTAGTGATTTTTTATTTAATATTTTTCCATGTGGGACAACAACTCACACTTGCAACCTTACAATCTCCCCCTCAAATGTGAGTTTGAAATACTCCCCCTTGAGCGGAAACCATGCACCCAAACCCTCAGAGCACTCTTAGTGAGAAGCTTGTATGGAGAAAATTGGAGTATAGACAAGAACCTCTAAGGAGATCGCCAGTAAACAGGTCTTGGCCTCACAGACCCTACACAAAAGGCGTCTAAGAAACGGGTGCGAGAGGCCTAGCCGAACCATCGGCTCTGGTACCATTGTTAGGAATTGAGGGAGAGACAAGGAGGAGAGAATAGCCCACACGTAAGTCCAAGTGAGGTTCCATTTCAAAACCATATGACAATAAAAGGAGTAGCTCACTTAAGTTATAAACTAGTGGTTTTTTATTTAATTTTTCCATGTGAGACAATAACTCACACTTGCAACCTAACAAGCTAAGGAAGATTTCACTATTAATTTATATACATTATTATTGAATTGCTAACAATAATATAATCATTTAATAATTTTTTTATTTTATTTTGGTCTTAATTTATAGGTAAACAAGATTCTACAGGAAGTTCTTAGATTATATCCCCCTGTGTCTGAGATAAGTCGCACAGTTAAAGAAGACATCAAAGTTGGAGAAATCTTCTTGCCTAAAGGAGTGTTAATCAATCTTCCAATACTACTTGTACATCAAGACGAAAAGTATTGGGGACCTGATGCTAAGGAGTTCAAGCCTGAGAGATTTAGTGAAGGAATTTGTAAGGCGAGCGGAGGGAACATGTCATTTTTCTCATTTGGTTGGGGGCCAAGAATATGCATTGGGTCTAATTTTGCCATGATGGAAGCTAAATTGACATTAGCTTTAATTTTGCAACGCTTCTCTTTTAACCTTTCACCATTGTATGCTCATGCACCTTCAGCTCTTGGAACTCTTCGTCCTCAGTTTGGTGCTCCGATAATATTTTATCGACTATAGGAAGGTTATTGGAAAATTACTTGTACAATTGTACTACTGATATGTATCTTTGTGGTGTTTTGAAACAAGGTCGATCATGTAATAATAACTATGACTTCTTACCAAGTTAAATAACTATGAATTTAATATATTACCTCCGTTTCAATTATGTGCAATATTTTCCAAAAACGGATGTTGATTACACATTATCTATAACAAACCAAAAGTTTCCTATTTTAGTAGATTTTTTGTGTGATTTTACGCTTTTGCCCTTAGTACAATCTATTTAACTTTTTACCACAACTCTTTATTTTTCTACATTATCAATACCTAATATCTTGTTTGATTTTTTTTGAGATAAAACAAATATCGACCAAATGGAGTGTATCCACGAAATGGAGAATTTCCATGAAACTTAAATCTACTCTTGAATCCAAACCTTAGCACCCACGTCTTTTCTCTAACTATGTCTCATTTTTTAATTTGACTCTCATGCAATGTCATTATTTTTAATTTTGACGTTTTCAGTTTATTTCTTTTGTGGCTGTGAAAATTCTCTCTCTTTTTTAATTTAAATTTCTTCATAAGTCACCAGATGATCCATTTATATCATTTTCCGTATAATATGATAAACCATTGTTTTTTTATCAACATTTTCTATTCCATTCAAAAAGCTTGAAAGAGGAATTACTTTTCAAATCACCAATTATTGCTAATCAATCGTTAAACCTCTTAACACTGATGATAAAAGTAAGGATACTTTCTTTTCTCAGACTTTCAAAAAATATTGATATATATAACTTGAACACAGATTAAATGATTTCAGGAAAAAAAATATGAAAAGATACATCATATGATGATGAACAGGAAATAAAGAATGATAACATGCCTGAAAAAAAAAAAAAAAAAAAAAATTGTTTTCTGCGAGAATAGTTATATGAAGTAGTTCGTATATATTTGTTGAGGTAAATATTGTTTTTTACCAACAACTTAAATACTCTATCTTATTCAATTGTATTAGTGGGCAAGGACGAAGCCAAGAGGGGCTGGTGGAGGCCTGGCCCCTAGCCCAACCACAAATCTCTCTAATGTTAAAACTGGCCCCCTTGATTTATTATTATATACAATAATTTTGTAGACCATTATTGCATTATAATTCCTAGCTCAGCGGTAGGAGCAGCGGCATTTGTTACATGGGCTTTGACTCTGAAGTCCAGAGTTTGCTTCTTATTAGCCTTTCAACCTTTTTAAACAAAAATAATAAAATAAAAAATTCTGATAATAATTTTCTCTATATTTTAAATTGACTATATTGTGTAGCTTTATTTAATTCTTGTATTTTTTTTTAAATGTTTAATTTATTATTTGTGGTGAAAATGAGCCACAATAGCAATGAATAATACAAATGGGGAAAAACCTTGTTGGTTTTGTACTAAACTATGTTTTAATGTGTGATTATTTTGATGAATAACAAAACAATGGTTAAGGATATTTTGTTGAGATTAACTAATATTTTCTCCTCTTTTTTAATTTAATATAAACGATCACAATGTTTTGAGTTTTGCAAAATAAATATTAACATATTGTACTGATTTGAGCATCAATATCTTTGATAATAATTTGTATAAATTATAAAAATGGGTTATTTAAAATTATACATTGAGTTTAATCATAGTACAACTAATAACATTTGTTTTGTTATGTATTAGTAAAATATATTTTATCAAAAAAAGAAATATTAGTGAAAAATGTGTTCAAAGCTAATTTATAATAGTGCAAAAGAAAAAAGTTTGCGATAGAAAACATATACTACATGTATGAAATACAATACTACTCTATTTAATATAAGTCTCGGCCCCTTTGGATTTCAAATCCTGGCTTCGTCCCTGTTAAGGGGCTGCCCCTCTTGTTACTGATTTCAAAAGATTGATAATCTCGCTAATGTTACAAAACAAACAATAAAGAAGTTTTTCCCAAAGAAATAAAACAAGTTAGATTACTAAAAAAAACGAGTAAGTAAACATATGACAAAAGATGCAAATGTTCTCCATTAATTGAAAGATAAAGTCATGTCTATAATTATACTAGTTGAAGGAAAGTTTACTTCCATGTTCATACAATTGGAAAGGATGATTGAATTTTGATACATGCTAAAAGAGTAAAATATCGCTTGGCTACTAAGCCAGCGAAAACAAGGAAAGCTAAGAAGAAAGCTTGAAGAAAATAAAATGCTTGTTGTTGATTGATTTGCTAATGTCTTTTCCTTGAGCGCTCTTTAGCTATTTATAGGCATACTTGAGACAGTTTCTCCCATTAACTTCAATAACCGCTAGACGGTTATGACTCTTGGCGCCAATCATCCTTTGAATTTCGAAGTATTTCTCTTGTTCTTGTTCCGGTTTAACTCCTACTTCTTGGGCTTTATAGTTGGGCCCTGTTTATGAACCATACCTCATCGTTGGATCAAGCCTTTGCATTGTCTTCAAAGTCTATTTTTCATTCGTCAACGTGCTTAAGTTAAGAAAAATCAAATAAATTTAATTTTGGGTGTAAAATATTTAACACTAGGTTAGCCCCGTGCGATGCATGGTTTTGATAATAAAAAATTCACTTGTAAGTGTATAACATAATTTTTTTAAGCAAAACAAATAAATCGTGACCCCTTTCGTTAAATATATTGAGCTAAAATGAAGGACATAAATATTCTAATTAACTTCATAACTATAATAATATTTTTAAAATGTTAGCTTTACCTTAAAAAAAAAAAAAAAAAAAAAAAAAAAAAAAAAAAAAGAATGCTGTCAACAATAGTTTTGGAGGATATTTTTTTATAAGAAGTTGTCACGTGAATAGCTATGATGTCAGCGGTAATTACTTTATTACTGCGTAGTTATAGATAGATTAGGGTAATATGAAACTTCCAAGGCTTTATTTAGATCACCATAATTTCCACTTGTTTTAGGGAGTGTTAATAATAAATTCAAATGATAAATTAATTCTCCCCGTAACTCATAGTATAGTGTTTTTTTTAAAATAAAAAATAAAAAAATAAAAAAAAAATCATATAGTATAGTGTTTATATCCATTTTATTTTATAGAAAATTTTATGGTAGTCAGTTAGAAAATAACTACCATTAGCTTTACTTAATGGCACAATGTGATTGTCTAAAATTTTACACATGTTCATCGATTTTGATTTTTTTAAAAGCGAAATTAATTAAAATTCAAATTTTAATTTCAAAAATTAAATATTATAATTTCTGTGCTTGACATTATAATATTTAATTTTCCAAATTTAAAAGTGAAATTTAAAAATCAAAAAATAATTTTTACAGCTTGTTTAGTTCACCTTATTTTCACTTATTTCAGATCTAATAATTAAGTTCATTTAACTTCTAATAAGTTAAATTTAGGAAAAAGTAGTTTTGATAAGGGTTATCTAAGTACAAAGTACAACTAAAACAAGTTTTAATAAGTTAAGGAAACTTCAGATACATTCAATTAAGTTAAGAGAAGTTTAGTCAAATTCAGATAAAGGAAATTGATATTTTAAAAAAAAAATCAAAAATAATAATGACATATATATTTCAGCCAATCACAAAGTGTCATTTTGTTTAATGTGTGATATTCATTTTTTAGATGACCGCTCTAACATCTTCCAATTTTTATGGTCAAATTGTAGTTATTGTTAATACATGGTTGAAGATATTGATGGATAAAAATATATTATGAGACAGGCACTATACCACAAATTTTTTAAAAAATATTTTAATGAGATAAGTTGTAATAAAAATAAATGTATAAATAAAATCAGAAAACATATTATTGAGATAATTAAGTGTCAATAAGTTTAAATAGATTATAAATTAAGATAATATAACATTTATAAAAAAATAATTTTGAATAAATATGATGTCGAATAAGTTTAAATAACATAAGTTTTGATTACAAATAATGGAATTGAAAAACTATCTCCGTATTTATTACTTGCTTCACTTTCCTTTTACGGCCTTATTTTATTACTTGGTTTGAAAACTTTAAACAATATTTTACCATTTTCCTCTTCACTAATGGTCCTCTTATATCATATTTTAATATTTATCATATTCTCTCTCTTCCCTACTTATACTCACTTTTGCTTTTAAAGATTTTTTATTACTTAACCAACCCCACTTATATTAAATTTTAGGAAAATTTTTTAGAAAGGTCTTTCTAAGTAGAAATTTTAGGAAAATTTGTTAGAAAGGTCTTTTTGAGTAGAACTTTTTGTTGCAAAGGTTCTTTTATAAAAAAGGTGTCACAAAAGGTCCTTTTAAAACACTTAGGTTGTGGCGAGGGTCCCTTGACCGGATTCCGGTGATTGATTTTTTTTTTTTCCGACCTAAAAAAGTCTCGTGTACCACTTAAAACCCTTTTTACCCCTTTACCCTTTGGCTTGGTTTGATTTGTCTTCAATTGCCTTCAATTTTAATGTGAGGCACTAGAATTGGAGTTTGATGATTGTTTTTTCACAAAAAAGAATTCGCACTGAGGTTGGTGATGATGAAATTAGGGTTTAATAAAGGGAAAAAGGGATTTTATGCGGTCACGTGCAAGGCACGTGGCTTATTTTGGTCGGAAAAAAAAAAATCAATGGCCGGAATCCAATCAAAGGACCCTCGCCACAACTTAACTGCGATAAAAGGACCTTTTGTGCCACCAATTAGTCTTCGAAAGTGAGTACGTAACGAAAAATACTGAGTAGCATTGTCCAAATGGTTTGACAATTTGGTTTCAGTTTGGTTAGAAACCGAGTCGGTTTGAAATCGGTTCAAGTGCCTTACAGGTAGATTTCGGTTCGGTTCAAATTATTATCGGTTCGATTCGATTTCGGTTTATTCTTGAGCGGTTTTAATTCAGTTCGGCTTGTAAACGGTTCAAGTAGTAAACGCTTTGGTGCAGACGTGTAGACACCTGATTGTGTCTCCCCAAAAATCAAACCTTGTGATGAGTATCTTTCATGTCTTGATTATCGAGTTCGACGAAGAGTTGAAGAGTCGTGAGATTCCCTTTAGCCTCGACCATTTATAACCTCTCCTAAAATATTTTAGAACAAAATCATTCATTTCGTGTCTTTGAAAATCATTTATTTCGTGTCCTCTTTATAAAA